GATGGGTTTTGTAGCCAGAACTGAATTTGGATAGTATATTTTCTCATTATCATATCTTTCAAAGACTGTTGTCAGGAGATTCATCTCTTCAACAACCATCTGTAAAAGATAATTAATACATCAAGCAATTGATCTTCTGATTGTATAGAAGCATGTAAGTTATAGGTTTAGTAATTCACCTGTACTCCATCTATGATACAACGATCACTGACATCAAAAGGATGAATCACAAATACAAATATGATGGCCTCAAATACGGTCCTCAGAGAGTTACCAAACATGAATGCCGCTAGCACAAGTTGAGAACAAATCAAGAGAAGTGCTCTTGTTTTTAAAATTCCCATCATAAGTAACCAGACAATAACGATAACAACAAACATGATCGAAGAGAGAAGCCTGTCGAGCTCTTCTATGGCTGTTTTGTAATCATTCAACCTAGATGCTAGTTTATCGCGTTCATTGCAGATATCTTCCTGCAAAATTTTCATAGCTGATCTGTGTTAGAAATTACAAAAGCAAAGTATTTTTTTTTTTCTGTGAATTAATTAATTAACACAGCTGTTGACATCGTTCTTTCTCTTTAGAACTTCTTCATTCTATTTGATTCCAGTAACCTTTTTCTGCACCTGTTCAATCAACATTCATTAATGAATTGTACACTTTTTCCTTGCATAACAAAAAATTAATTTCATTGTTTAATTTGGAAGGACACCATACTATTTCAAATCAATTATTTTCCACAAGCTTAGAATAATTGAAAATTAAGAACTTGCCAGCCAGTTCTGAAAAGCTGATTTGTTGATGATTCCTCCACTTGATTCAACATCTTCAAACCATTTTTTAAGAACTTCCTTAGCTTCATTATCTTGTTTAAGGTAAGATAAGAGGTGCTCCTTTTCAATGTGCTCCTTTTCAATGTGCTCCTTTTCAATATCCTCCACTTTTTCTTCCTGGCCACCTTCAGTATCCTCCTTTTTAACTCCACTAGGCAATCTAATCATAAAGACAATTAACAAAATTATTTACAGAACAAGCTATAGTGATCAAATAAGACAAGATTACAGGAGAACAAACTTACTTGTTACCAGTCTTCTGATGTTCTATAATTTTGTCAAAAATTTCACCTGAAGGCGGAATAGACAACCTTGACCCTCTTATGACATCTATCCCTTCCATGGTCCATGCAGAGGTTATCATTTCCTTTAACCAATTTAGAAATTTGGAAATCCACCTGACAATGAATACTGTATCACATTGGTCCTGTAAGGTCCCGAGCGTGTCAACTATATGCTGATGAAGGATTGCTTTCTGAATGTCGTCAAAGAATCTTTTGCCCTGGAACTTAATAGCTAAAAGTTTCACAACAGTAGTTTTAATCAGCCATAAAAATGCCCCAAAAAGAGTAGAGGATAGAGTCTTCGTAATGTAATTCAGAATCCTTGTAGTTTGCTCTGATCTCTTAACACCACTATCAAACAATAGAACCCAAGTGAGAAGAACCAAACTCAGCCACACAAAAAACCAAACACTCTTCCTTAGTCCATAAACAACATATATAACCATCTCATGTTGAGCAAACTTCCCCCTCATCAGAAAGACAACAACATTCATCATCCCTCTAGTGAAAATTCCACTGCAAAAAGTAACCAGCACGAGCACACACCATTTCCATAGTTCCAAACCCCAAATCACATGGTTTTTAAATATATGTACAGTTAAGCTAGCAATAAGACATCCTGCAAAGCAAACAAGTACAATCCACTCAATAATGATTCGAGTTGTCCACTTACTCCATTTTTTAATTTCCGGAAGAGTTGAGACTTGGTCGTTTGACTTTTCTTTTGTTTCCTGAGGGGGGTGTGTGTCTGGATTTGCAATCTGCTTAGCCGAAGGAGATCTTGCAGATGAGGAAACATTTCTCTGCCTGATATTTGATGAAGAGGAAGAGCCCTCTTCTGTGCTTGCCATTTGGATCCTGACATCTTTTGGTCCATTCTTCTCTTCCATGACTTTTCCGATCTCTATTATGGCTTCAGTTGCTGCTCTTTGTTTTATTTGGTGGAAAGACAGTGATGAAAGGGAAAACAGAACAAAAGCAAGTCGGAATTTTTGGTTTCTTTCTTTTAAAGAGGGAAAACAAAGAGAAGATATAAGATGATTGGAATTTTCAGAAGTTCTAGACCAAGATCACTAGAGTAGAGAAAACTAAATATTGTGAACCAGATAGAGCTTAGTTTGAAATTTGGGTTCCACTCAGTGCAACAAAATAGATAGGATTTGTTTGTAATTTGAAGGTTCAGGCAAATGGTTGGTATGCCTTTGATCAAGATTTGCATTAAACGCAAAATAATAAAAAAAGACTTCAACCATTTAGTCATGACTTAGACAATGTGATCCAAGTCAATGCTGTAAAAAGCGCGCATAGACTGAGAAAGTCTAGCATATAATGCCACGTGAGTTGGTATCCCCATCCAATGAGATCATTACAACTCACTAAAACTAGTCCACTTCATTATCCAGCAGATAAGACATTTTACATTTTACAAACGATGCACCTCACCTAACGAAAAATTTAATGTAACTCAAAGGTAACGGAGTATTTCTCCCGTCAAGATCTTCTCTTTCTCTCCCTTCCTTCGTTCCTAATGGTGCCTTCTGTTTTCTACTCCATCTTCTCCATATCTTCCATCTCCCCTGCTCCTGTTCATCCTTGACCACTACTTGCTCCCACGGAATCCCTTCCATTTTCCCCTTTAACTGTCCAACAAATGAGTCACTTTAGATCTGGTTGGTTTTTAAGTCTGGGATTTAGGAGAAAAGACAAACTCTATGCCTGAATTTATGTAAATTAGAGAACCCATTTGAATTTACTGATATGAAATTTCAGTTCTCCTCGCAGAGATAATACCACCAGCTATATCTTCAACTTGGGTATCCTGGACAACATGAACTCAACCCTCAAAGCCACTTTTATATGTTCCAATTTGAAAAAAAAGTTTCTCAATTTCTCTAATTATCCCACGCATTAGAAAATTTCTGATGATTTTTTTAAAGAAAAATCTTCAGATGATTAAATACACAAAAATTGCAAATTTCATTGTTCCAAAATTCAATCAACGTCTGGACATTTTCTAGCGTTGACTTATTTGAACAAAAATCAAGAATCAAAAAACACAATTTTGTGCAGCAGAGAGTATGGATTTGGGGAAGAAGACAGAGGAGAGAGATGAGATAAGCGGGGGAAAGAGAGAGTTAAATTCTCCGTTAACTTATGTGTCCTTTTAGATGTTGAAATGTCATCTTTTATTGAGTTGTAACAATACTACTGGACGGGGATGCCAACTGACGTGGTATCCCCGTTGTATACTAGACTTTCTCGCTTAGACTAGCGTCCAGATGGCGGGCGGCCGCCTCACCTAGCCAACAGGCGGTGGACAAGAATGCAATTTTTTCCATTTTTCTAATTTTATTGCAAAAGAAATGAAAAATGCCTAGGCTTGCAAGGCTCCCAGGCACTCGGTGAAACTGCCTAGCGCTTTTGCAACACTGATGCAAATGTGAAGTCAGTTTCATGGATTAAGTTCTTCATTAAATAGTTATGATAATTTAATCATTCAATTGAGCTGTAAATTAGCTGTCCATTACTCTCAAATAAATAAATAAAAATTTGAATAATGTGAAGTCAATAATTCTAAGTCATGTGCCAAATAATTATTTAGATTCTTTAATTGATAATCTGTAAAAAGATTCTTCTGTGGGTTGCATTTTTTGTAGTGTCTTGATTGGTATTGAAGGTAATCAATCTGTTTATGTTACCTCCGTACAAAGAGGCAATCTTAAAAAAAGAAAAAAGAAAAAAAAAAGCCCATTCTGAAAAATACAAAGTCATAACATGACTTAAACCAGATGTGATGGAAATTAAATTAAAAAAAATGAAGTCTTGTACCAAATAAGTAGGTGAGTAAATCAAGAGCACTTTAGAGGCTAAACATGGTAACTACGCCATGAATTAAACTCTTTGCAAAACTCAAGGATCCAGTGAGTGGTAGTAATCCATGAACAAAGCTCTAAGTTCAACTCATAGATCCAAG